AAAACAGATCATGCCAGACAAATCTTATTGCATTCTTTGACCAAGTGACAAAATTAGTGGATCAGAGGAATGCTGTGGATATAATTTACTTGGACTTCAGTAAGGCATTTGATAAAGTAGATCACAACCTACTACTTGATAAGATAGAAAAATGTGGGTTAGACAGCATCACCACCAGATGGATTCGTAGCTGGCTGACGGTACTCAGCGAGTGGTCCTCAATGGAACCGCATTTAGATGGAGGGAAGTGTGTAGTGGGGTGCCCCAGGGCTCTGTTCTGGGCCCAGTGCTCTTCAACATCTTCATCAACTATTTGGACGAGGGGATAGATGGGGAACTCATCAAATTTGCAGACAACACCAAGCTGGCAGGAATAGCCAAACTCCAGAAGACAGGCTTAGGATACAGGATGATCTGGACAAACTTGAACACTGGGCGCTATCTAACAAAATGAAATTCAATGGTGAAAAAAGTAAGGTTCTACATTTAGGCAAGAAAAACCGAATGTACAGGTATAGTATAGGGGGTACCTTGCTCAATAGTAGTAACTGTGAGAGGGACCTCGGAGTCCTAGTAGACAATCACTTAAATATGAGGCAACAGTGTGCTGCAGCTGCCAAAAAGGCCAACACAGTGCTGGGCTGCATTAACAGGGATAGAATCAAGATCATGTGAAGTATTAATACCACTTTACAATGCCTTAGTAAGGCCACACTTGGAATACTGCATCCAGTTTTGGTCACCACGATGTAAAAAAGATGTTGAGACTTTAGAAAGAGTGCAGAGAAGAGCAACAAAGTTGATTAGGGGACTGGAGGCTAAAGCATTTAAGGAAAGGCTGCTGGAATGGGATATGTCTAGTTTAATGAAGAGATGGATGAGGGGGGACATAATAGCAGTATTCCAATATCTCAGGGGCTGCCACAAAAAAGCTATTTTCAAGCTATTTTCCAAGGTGCCTGAAGGCAGGACAAGAAGCAACGGATGGAAACTAATCAAGGAGAGAAGCAGCCTAGAACTAAGGAGAAACTTCCTGACAGTTAGAACAATTAACCAGTGGAACAACCTGCCTCCAGAAGTGGTGAATACTCCAACACTGGAAGTTTTTAAGAAGAGACTGGACAGCCATTTGTCTGTCTGTATAGGGTTTCCTGCCTGAGCAGGATGTTGGACTAGATGACCTCCAAGGTCCCTTCCAACTTTATTATTGTTGTTGTTGTTATTATTAACTTGCTAATATGGAAATGAGATCAATAGCCCTGATAAGTGACTTGTCTCTTAAATCTCAAAACTGGGTGAATCGAGATTTGAGGTGATGCAATATATTTGGATAAGGAAAAGGTCTTTTGGAGTAAAATACTGTATAAATGCAAGAGATAGGGAAAGGAACAAAAACTGTCACATAAAATGGCAGAACCGACTCCTGCAAACCTAAAAGCATACATGACTACCACACAATCTTGGTAACATAGCGTTCCCGCATGGGAATATTTTAATGGCATGCCTATACTTGTGAGTAAAATAGGCAAACGTGCAAAATGCAAATAGTATGGCTAAAAAACATAAGACCTAGTTTTCATTTAGGAAAGTTATGAAATCATATGTTATATGTTCATTTCTAAGGAATATTTGATAAAATCAGATAATAGTTAAAATTAGGTATAGAAAGAATATTTTGCCTAGAACAACATGTTAGCAGAGGGGAAACTGCATTTAGCAATCATACTTGCATAATATTAAAATGTTTTAGGGACAAGAGGGATTTATTCAAGAAATCTATATTTGTTCATGTTTTAAAGAAAATCGCATCTTTGAGCTGATAGAGCTCTCATACTTGGATTCAGATATAATCTTTCTTAACAGCAGTAAGTACTTCTAGTGTTATAGAAACCATGTTTCATTTCTTTGGAGAAATTCAATATTGGGGAATAATTTGAAAACTGAGGAAGTAGGCAAACTTATTTTTCTGTTCTAGATTCTGAATGAAGAGGAAGATGGGTGACTCTTTAATATTGGCAACTAGTATTTAGAATTTATTTTGTTTTGGGTGGTTTGCTTTGCCATTTATTATTTATTTAACATATGGCATGGATTAGCAATATAAATTAACATTTCAGCCCAATAAAATATAAATGTCAAAAAGATCTGTGCTCAAATATCAATTTCTAGGCCATCTAACCATTGAAGTGTAGCATTATTTATATTTTAAAAAATCAGATACTGAACTGTTATATGCCATCAGCTTTTAGCCGGTCATGATGTGATCTACAGTTTGATGTGGGACCTCACAGTCTCACTGAGGGAAGGAATATGCTCCACTCATACAGAAAGTTCCGGCAGATACCATGTGAGGTGCAAATCCTAGTCAGGATTGTCCATTGCTAACATGGTAGTTCAAAGCCTGGCACCTTTTTGTGGAGTCATATGTCAAAATTAGATAGATAGATAGATAGATAGATAGATAGATAGATAGATAGATAGATAGATAGATAGATAGATAGATAGATAGATAGATAGATAGATAGATATTGTTCAGCGACCCATTTGGCTTTCCATTGGGAATTGATATTAAAGTTTGGGCAGATGTTGTGCAGGTGACTGGGGGTTTCCTGGATTTGAGTCTTCTGGATGATAAATGAGGAAGGTTGGCATGCACTGGTAGGAGTTCATAATTTTTCTGTATTTTTTCACTAGTCCATCTTGCCTTTGTAAAGCTGGTGGTGCTATATGGCTCAGAACAGGAAGCCAGTAAGAGTGGTTTTAAGACATCTGCTTATAATCCTCAAGGTGTCGTTGACTCTTGCGTCTTAACTTACTAGTATGGCAGCTGTTAAACCATACAAGGACGTAGTATTCTGGTCCGGAGTTGACAGCTGATGATCTGAGGGTAGCAACTGAAATTCTCTAGGTGCTTCTTGCAGGAGAGAATTGGTCCAATGTTACTGTAAGGTACTTTGTTTAAGTAGACCTTCAGGGCTTCATATCCTAGTTGTTGAGATGGAAGCACTGTTTTGCTGCTGCTGGGAGTGAGCCTTAAGTCAATGAAGAATTTTCCCAAGATTTTTGAATAGGAACATGTCAGCCACCTCCATGTGTTTTTCTTGTACTGCCATTTTAATTGTTCTTTTTATTAATGAAAATTAAAAACATATTTTTTTGATTTCATGTTTTTGTAAACTATTTTACCTACCTGCTGAAGAAAAATTGAACACATATCTTTAGTTTGCCACCCTGAGTTATTTATAAAAAGAATGAAGGCAGGATATAAATAAAAATTAATCCAATGTCAAAATTCTAATGACAAACGTATCCTGCACACATCCAGAAGAATTAATTGTGCAGTTCCTTACAACTTCAAAAGTGGAAAGAGGGACACATAACTAAGGCAGAATATCAGCAAATAGCCCGAGCCTGCAAAGATGAAGTGAGGAAAGCTAAGGCTCAAAATGAACTAAGGCTTGCGACCAAAGTCAAAACTAACCAAAAAAGCTTCTTTCAACATGTAAAAAACAAGAAAAAAGTGAAGGAAATGATTGGTCCATTAGTGGGTAAAAGTGGCAAGAAGGTGACAAGCAACAGGGAGAAAGCAGAACTATTTAACTCGTTT